CAGTGTTCAGGTGATCATCATGGCGAGGTTCTCCCAGTAGGTACATTTTTACAGAGTAGGTACCTATCATTAGCGAGGAGTGCACAAAGCTCCCTCCATCTGCCTTGAGCAGTTTTTCAGGGAGCCCCACGAAAAGTGTCACCAAAGTACTGAGGTTATGGCTGCAGAGCCCTTTTTCCCTCATCCTCGCTCAGCCAAGATGCACCAGACCGGTGCTCGCTGCTCTTGCCGGAAGTGTGGCTAAGGTTATAGGAAACGACCAGCGCTTTGACCTGGGTGGGCGGGGGCAGAAGAGCGTTTGTAGCACCTTCTTGCTTGGCACAGGAAGTGTGTCTGGGTAGACCGGGTGCTTGGAGGCGGGTCAGGAAGTATTCTCCAGGAGGAGGTTTCGCGGGGAAGCTTTTGCGGCTAGAACACTTCCTGTTTCCTAGTAACAATAGGAAGTGTCCGCGGAGCTGGGGGTACTCCTGGCTCGTGTCAGCTGCGCCCTTTTTACTCTATCTCCTCCCTTCTCCCGCTTCTCCCTTCCCTCTCCCCCTCCCCTCCCCACCCCCTGGGACCCCTGGCGGAGTGTGCGTGTGTGGGAGCGCGAGAGCCCCCCACAGCCACCCCTTGGGGCGCACGGCTGCAGTTAGGGTGAGGGTCCCAGTGCGCAGGCGCGCTCCCGTTCGCGGTCCCCAACGGACGCACCCGCGGCGGGAACGAGAAGGGGCCACCCGTGTGAGGTAGGGGTCTTAAGAGGAAACCGGCCGAGATGATCAGTGAGGCGAGAGGACTCGTTTGATCAGGAGATCAAACGATCAGGACAGGGGATTCACTCTTGAGCGAAGGGGCTTTGAGAAGTGAGAGTTCGGGGAGCAGGTTCAGTGAGGGGGGTTAGTCGGCGATAGTTGTACTGGGGTCCAGTGGAAGTAAAGGATCGGAAAGCCCAGGTGATGGAGAAGGCTCGGGGTTCTGCCATGGAGAGGGCAAGAGCTTTGGGAAGGAGGTTGCCTGCATCAGTGGGTTTGCTCGCTGGGACAGCAGGCATTGCCGTGTGTTGTGGGGAGTAAGTGACACAATGGATATTCTTTATTTAGCACAGTGTTCGGTCCGCGGTAATGCTCAATTAGCATGCATTGCTGTCATCAGTATTATGAGAGGAGGTAGAAGAACAGAAAGGCAGCAGCGAGGCTATAGTGAGGAGGTATCAGAAGGAAAAAGGTAGAGAGGGTGAAGAACGACCAGAAATGGGATGGAATTTCCGTGATGGGAGATAGTGTGGGTTCAGGGGAAGTAGGTGAAAGAAGCGGCCAAGAAAGTCTTCTAGAAAGGAGACTTTGTGACCATGAAAGGAATAGGGGACATGGGGGCACAAGCCAGCCCCTTCTCTGAAGGGCGGCCCTGACTTCATCTCTCAGGCCCTCATCTGTCAGCTGGAGAAAGACTACGTTTTCAGTGCCTCTGGGCTACTCTGCTTAGCTGAGGGGTAAGGACTGGACATCTCTTGTTCAGAGCCCTAGAAAAGGTTCAGGTTTCCTTTTAAGATGTCACAGGAGATAACGTTGTTTGTTTCAGAATTATAGAGAGAAGGTTAGGGGCAGTAAGACCTTTTGGATTTGGTCTGAAGAACAGGTTACTAGGTCTGCGATCAGAAGTCAGTTACATCCGTCTAGACCAGCGGTTCTCAACCTGTGGGTCGCGACCCCTTTGGGGGTCAAACGACCCTTTCACAGGGGTCGCCTAAGACCATCGGAAAACACATATATAATTACATATTGTTTTTGTGATTAATCACTATGCTTTAATTATGTTCAGTTTGTAACAATGAAATTGGGGGTCACCACAACATGAGGAACTGTATTAAAGGGTCGCGGCATTAGGAAGGTTGAGAACTGCTCTAGACTTTCCCTATCTCTACCTCTAGGGATGAGTTAGGCTCAGGGAAGCTCCCACATCTGGGGAGCTTGTGTACAGAGTTGCCTTACGTGATGGTGCTTCCAGATTAGATCCCATAGGAAGCAGGTCCCTGGGCATTGCTGCGTGGGGAACCTCCCTGTGACCTCTGGTGAACTTGTTGCTTATACAGCCAAGAGATAAAGTTAATTCAGGCCTTCCTTCTCACCACTGCCCTCTCTTCCTAGGCTTTGGGCACCACCAGAAGATGCCTCTGCCACCTGCCTGCTCCTCCTGACCCTCCAGGTTTCTGCCACACTGCCCCATGGAGGATGTGCCCACCTCACTCAGCTGCTGTGACTGTCAGCACCACTTTCCCAGTGTCCTGGAACTGTCAAAACACCGTGAACTGCTCCATCCATCCTCCAGCCAGGACAGTGAGGAGGCTGATAACATCCCTCCGCCCTACCGCTGTCAGCAGTGTGGGCAGGGCTACCGTCACCCAGGAAGCTTGGTCAACCACCACTGTACCCATGAAACTGGCCTTTTCCCCTGTACCATCTGTGGCAAGGACTTCATTAATCCCATGGCCCTCAAGAGCCACATGAGGACTCATGCTCTTGAGGGAAGCCCCAAGGAAGCCACTCCACGCCTCCAGGGGGAGACAGTGTCCACTGACTCTTGGGGCCAGAGGTTTGGCCATGGGGAAAGCTGGGAGAATCAGAAAAAACATGCCGAAGAGACACCTGGCTGTGAATCTGGGCCTGACCCCAGGGCAGCTCTGGACACTTGGGAAGATCCACCCATCAGACAAAGAGAAGACTGGGAAAGCCAGCGAAATCCTGAGGAGGGTGCGGAGGGCTGGGGGTCCATCACCAACTCTGCCAGGGCCCCGCTGCTCTCCACTCCAGCCAGCAGCCTCCTTAGCAACTTGGAACAGTATTTGGCTGAGTCAGTGGTGAATTTCACGGGGGGTCAGGAGCCCCCCCAGTCCTCTCCTGCAGAGGAGGAACGGCGGTACAAGTGTGGTCAGTGTGGCAAGACTTATAAGCACGCGGGGAGCCTCACCAACCACCGCCAGAGCCACACCCTGGGCATCTACCCTTGTACCATTTGCTTTAAGGAGTTCTCTAACCTCATGGCTCTGAAGAACCACTCCCGACTCCATGCCCAATATCGGCCTTACCAATGTCCCCACTGCCCCCGTGCCTTTCGGCTGCCCCAAGACCTGCTGGAACACCAGCAATCCCATGAGGGAGAAAGACAGGAGCAGCCGTGGGAAGAGAAAGGGATGCCCACCACCAATGGGCACACAGACGAGAGCAGCTGGGATCAGCTCCCTAGTACACCGATGCTGAACGGCTCTGGGGAACTCGGCGTCTCTGGGGAGCTGGAGGACAGTGGGCTGGAGGAGTACCGACCTTTCCGCTGTGGGGACTGTGGCCGTACTTACCGCCATGCTGGGAGCCTTATCAACCATCGCAAGAGTCACCAGACAGGTGTCTATCCTTGCTCCATCTGTTCCAAGCAGCTGTACAATGCAGCTGCTCTCAAAAACCATGTGCGGGCTCATCACAGACCCCGGCAAGGAGCTGCAGAGGATGGGCAGCCATCCGAGCTGCCACCTCCTTTGGCTCTGACGGAGACCACCCACAAAGAGAGAGAGGTTCCCACCGCCACCCTGGACCACCGCCCCTATAAGTGCAATGAATGTGGTCGGGCTTACCGCCACCGGGGGAGCTTAGTGAACCACCGCCACAGCCATCAGACAGGAGAGTACCAGTGCTCGCTCTGTCCCCGCAAGTACCCCAACCTTATGGCCCTGCGCAACCACGTGCGGGTCCATTGCAAGTCTGCTCGTCGCAGCACAGGCCCAGGGGCTGAAGGTCCCCCCAGCCAACTCAGGGTGGAGTCTGACTCAGTGGGAGCAAAGGCAGCCCCATGTACAGATCAAGGGACTGGGTGCAAACAAGAAGAGAAGGCCACTGATGTCCCCCCAGTAGCAGATACGACAGCACAACAGATACGCGACATGCGTGGGATGCTCTCTGAAGATCCTGAGAGCCTTGAGCATCACAGCCGGACCCATGGAGAAGGGGGGAATAGCAGGACAGAGGCCAGGGTGTCACCTCCTCGGGCATTTGCCTGCCGGGACTGTGGAAAGAGCTATCGCCACTCAGGCAGCCTTATCAACCACAGGCAGACCCATCAGACAGGGGACTTCAGCTGCGGGGCCTGCACCAAGCACTTCCACACCATGGCTGCCATGAAGAACCATTTACGACGCCACAGTAGGCGTAGGAGCAGGCGGCCCTGGAGGCGGACTGGCAGTGCTGGGGGTGGGGGAGAAGCCCAACTCCCTTCTGGTGGGAACTGGGCCCAGGAGTTGGTAGAAGACAATGAGGGCCCGGACTGTCCCCAGGGCCCTTCAGAGGAAAGTCCTAGTGGAGCCGAAAGCAACTTGGAAAGTGATGGGGGCTCTTTGCAGGCTCATGCTGAAAGAGACAAATGTGAGCCTCAAAGGGATGAGGCCTGTTTCCAGGGTGATAAAGAGAGCAGAGGTCCTAAGGAAGGACTAGAAAGGAAGGAGGCCTGCTTTCTTGACAACTTGGAAATGCCAGGTGATGAGGAAAGCAATGGGACCCGCTTCTGCGATGGCCTCCCTGGGGTGGATGAAGACCAGAAACCAGCCACTGGCCAGCCCAGCTCTTCCCACTCCGTTGAAGCTGTCACTAGCTGGCAGGCTGAGGTCTCCCACACATGTTCTGACTGTGGGCATTCGTTCCCCCATGCCACTGGCCTGCTGAGCCACAGGCCCTGCCACCCACCAGACATCTATCAGTGCTCCCTCTGCCCGAAGGAGTTTGACTCTCTGCCTGCCCTGCGCAGCCACTTCCAGAACCACAGGCCTGGGGAGGCAGCCCCAGCACAGCCTTTCCTCTGCTGCCTCTGTGGCATGATCTTCCCTGGGCGGGCTGGCTACAGGCTTCACCGGCGCCAGGCTCATGACTCCTCTGGACTGACTGAGGGCTCAGAGGAGGAGGAGGGAGAAGATGAAGCAGCAGCAGTGGCAGCCTCCACCCATAGTACCCCACTACAGCTCTCAGAAACAGAGCTGTTGAATCAGCTGCAGCGGGAGGTGGAGGCATTGGATGGAGCCGGTTATGGGCACATCTGTGGCTGCTGTGGTCAAACCTATGATGACCTAGGGAGCCTGGAGCGTCACCACCAAAATCAGAGTTCTGGGAACACGACAGACAAGGCTCCCAACCACTTGGGAGAGTCAGGTGATACCACGGAAATGGTTGCAGATGGCGTCTTTGAGGGCACGGTGACTTCTCTCCCTGCAGAAGGTGGAGACACAAAGTCTGGAGAGGGAGTAGGTGCCCGGGTTGCAGACAGCCTCTCCGTGCAGGGCGGGGAAAGTTCCCTGGAGGATCAGCCCCGCCCCTTCCGCTGCAATCAGTGTGGCAAAACCTATCGCCATGGGGGCAGCCTAGTGAACCATCGCAAGATCCACCAGACTGGAGACTACATCTGCCCTGTCTGCTCCCGCTGCTACCCCAACCTGGCTGCCTACCGCAATCACCTGCGAAACCACCCACGCTGCAAAGGCTCTGAGCCCCAGGTGGGGCCCGCCTCACAGGCCGGAGGCGGCAGTGAGCCCCAGAACGTGGCAGAGGAGGGGCTGGGGCAGGCGGAAGTGGAGAAGCTCCAGGAGGAAATTAAAATAGAGCCCCCCGAGGAGGTGGCAAGGGTGAAAGAAGAGCCGTGGAAGGAGCCCACTCTGAAGGGGGAGGAGATGGGGCTGAGGTTGGAGACTGCGGAGAAGGGCTGCCAGACCGAGGCCAGTTCTGAGCGGCCCTTCAGCTGCGAGGTATGTGGTCGGTCATACAAGCACGCCGGCAGCCTCATTAACCACCGGCAGAGCCACCAGACCGGCCACTTTGGCTGCCAGGCCTGCTCCAAAGGCTTCTCAAACCTCATGTCCCTCAAGAACCACCGGCGCATCCACGCAGACCCCCGGCGTTTCCGCTGCGGGGACTGTGGGAAGGCGTTCCGCCTGCGGAAACAGCTGGCTAACCACCAGCGGATCCACCTCGAGAGGGGTGGGGGCACCCGAAAACTGGCTCGGGAAGATTGGCCCTTCCGGTGTGGGCAGTGTGGGCGGAGCTACCGCCATGCCGGCAGCCTCCTGAACCACCGGTGCAGCCCTGAGACGGGCCCGTACAGCTGTCCCACCTGTCCCAAGACCTACTCCAACCTCATGGCCTTGAAGGACCACCAGAAGCTACACGCAGAGAGCCGGCGGCGGCGAGCAGGGCGGGCCCGGCGGGCAGCTGTCCGCTGCGCGCTCTGTGGCCAGGGCTTCCCGGGCCGGCGTTCTCTGGAGCGGCACTTGCGAGAGCATGAGGAGGAGACCAAAAGTGGTCAGGGAGGTCCTGGAGGCACAGAGGGCAGCAAGGGGAACCTCGCTGATGACAAGGGACTGGAGGACAGATCTGGTGGTACTGAGTCAGTTCCCCAGCTGCAGTGTGGAGCCAGGAAGCCAGGGGAGCAGAGTCATAGCCCCAGCAGGTCAGCAGGTCCGGAAGCCACAGAGCCAGTACCCTGGGGCATGGGGCAAACAGATGGATGGCAAGGAGATGGGGGACCGGTGAATCATGATGGAGATTGGGTTCCTCGGGGTCATGTACTGACCAAGCCAGAAGAAGACTCAGCAGACAGTGTCCCCATAAGTTCTTGCCACCTTGGCAACAGCCAGCCCAATGGACCTAGTCATGTGGACAGCTGGGACAATAGAGACAGCACCCCTCAGCTCCAACCAGAGAGCCACCCCTTTTCCTGCTGCCGTTGTGGTAAGACCTGCCAGTCGGAAGGCCCCTTGAACCACCACACCCATAAGGCAGACTGCCACTATTGCCTGCTCTGCTCCAAGGAGTTCCTGAATCCTGTGGCCACTGAGAGTCACAGCCACAACCATGTATCTTCCCAGACCTTTGCCTGCCCTGACTGTGGCAAAACCTTTCCGTTCCAACATGAACTAGCCAGCCACCTGCAAACTCATGCCAAGGGCCTCAGTCAGGTACCACCCCAGATAGAGGAGGCCAGAGGCCCCAAAGCTGGGACTGTGGAGGATGAGGTAGATGTCGCTGGTCAAGGGAAAGCCCAGAAGGCCCCAACAGGTCCCCCCCGGGCCCCAGGAGAGAATACTGAGAGAGCTAAAGAAGGGCAGGGAGTGAAGTCCACAGTGGCTGACGATGAGGACCGGCCTTTCCGCTGTGCCCAGTGTGGGCGTTCATACCGCCATGCCGGTAGCTTGTTGAACCACCAGAAGGCCCACACCACTGGACTCTATCCTTGCTCCCTCTGTCCCAAACTTCTACCCAACCTGCTTTCCCTTAAGAACCATGGCAGGACCCACACGGACCCCAAACGCCATCGCTGCAGCATCTGTGGCAAGGCCTTCCGGACAGCTGCCCGGCTGGAGGGCCACGGGCGGGTCCATGCACCCCAGGAGGGGCCCTTCACCTGCCCCCATTGTCCCCGCCATTTCCGCCGCCGCATCAGCTTTCTGCAGCACCAGCAGCAGCACCAGGAGGAGCGGACAGTGGCCAACTCTGGTACGGGGATATGAATGGGCAGAGGACTGAAGGATCCCAGAGGAGGTGGGCGTACAGTGGAGGGCAAAATCTGGCCCCAAGGTAGTGGGGAAGCAAGGAGTGAGAGGAAAGGGTCCTATGGGTCTGAGGTGACCAGAAGCTTGGGTATGGAATGAGAAAACTAGTTTGAAGATGCTGCCCTTTGGCCTAGATCTGAACCCCTGGGTCAGGTAAATAGATAGCATGGTGGGCGGGATAAGGACTGGGCAGGGGCAGAGGCCGCTGCCTGGGCTCCTCTGCTGTGCCTGAGCCAAAGAGGAGTCTTCGTTTTGGGAGGGAAGGCAGCTGGGTACCATCTGGCTGCTACAACTGGAAACCCTCCTGATCCAGCCAGTAATGACTCCCAGGGGAAAAGATGATCTAGGTTCTGCTCTTCCCTAGAGTAGGCAGGGAGTCAGGGAATGAGGAAGGGGCTGAGGGAGGCACCCCCAGGCTGGACTTTGTGGCTTCAGTGCTGACTTGGCCAGAGAAACTAGGCCACTGAATGGTCTCCAGCCCCCTGTCCCTGTTTCCCTGCATCTGGTCTCTGCTCCCCCTCCGCTTTTCTTGGAAACTAGACCTTTGGTCCTTTCCTACCAGTATTGCCTCACGTCTCTTCTCTTTATTCAGCCCTTTTCTCTATCTGCTGTGTATGCTTTTTAGGATCCAACCAAACCACCCTTTCTACCTGCACACCCCCTCCCGCCAGCACACCTTTAACTGGAGGGCTGAGTCACAGATGATAGTTCCTTTGAAGCCAGGCCCAGCTGTAGTAACAACAGTGATTAGCCCCTATCACCCTTCTCTATCGGGGAACTCCACGGAGTCACCTCCACCCAGCCAAGCTGGAAGATGAGCTGGAAGAGTGGGACAGCCTATTTCCCCAGCAAGCGCTGGGCTTGCTCGCTTCACCTCTAGAGATCTCCCGGAACCCATTCCACTCAGTGGCCGCCAAGGATGGGTGCCCTGAGATGGCGGGCCCGTGACCAGAAATTGTCAGGGAAGGAGGGGATGGTGGCTGAGAGTCCCCTAGGAGAGCTGATGAGATGGCGTTCAAGGTGAAAGGTTTCTTGTAACCTTAGGGAACGAGTGAGGAGCCAGTTGGCCAAGCCTGGGAAACCCCGTGGAAGTCTTAGGGCGATAGGGCTCTCCTACAGGTTCCCCCGGCCATGGGCAGGGCTGGGGAGGGGAGTACAAGCTGTATGGAGGGTGCCCCCTCAGTACCTTCTCTCTCCCCAGGAGCCTCAAAGGCACCAGCAGCGGGCCTGTCATTGCCCCCTCCACCCACCCCCACAACCCCACTTCTGGACCCTTCACCCCAGTGGCCTGCAGATCTCAGCTTCTCCCTCTGAACTTCAATTCTCCAAAGATCAATACAGGGCAAGAGTGCAGGTTGCAGGGAAAGGTTTGACCTCCATGTTCTACTCAGGCGTAGTTTGGGCATCCCCATCTCTCCTCTCCCCTGGCTTCTCTCCCATGTCCCTGTCCGTGAAGGGCCTCCTTCCCCAGCCTTGGTCACCATGCAATTCATTGTGCTCGTCCTACAAGAAACCTGGTGCCAGGGTGTGCGGGATGCGGGGCTCCCCCCACCACCCTCACCCACCGGGTTCCAACACCAGGGAGGCAGATTCAGAGAGAGCCAGGGATAGGAATGTTGCCTGTGGAGGGGGGAGGGGGGGCTTTTGCTACAATTTGTAACTTATTTTCTAAAGTCTATTTTGTAACAATTTATTTAAGTTTAAAAAAAGGAAAATTGCACCACCATTCCCCTTCCCCCGCCAAAAAAGAACATTTTCCAAGTATGTGGCTGGTGTGGTTATACGTGAGGGGATGAGAAGAGGGGAGAGTGGGACGCCTGCGTCGGAGAGCAGAGCTGAGAGCGGGGAGCACCTACAGGTGACAAGTCCCTGTCCTGCAGGGGGGGAGACGGGGCAGCTGCCAATCCACTGGGCTTTGGGGCCTGCCCAGGGCCTGGAATTGTGTGGGTGGGGGGAATGGAGCGGGGCAGAGGCAGTGATGTGTCTGCAGCATCCCAGAGCCACCTGTCAGCAGTCAGCTGGTTGGCCTGTGGGAGAGGAAGAGGTGGGTGGTGGCCTCTCCTGGAAGGAGGAGGAAGGAGGTGCCACACAGCCCCCACCGGGGATGAGAAAACAGGTTCAGAGGTTGAGAGGCCTGTTCCAAGTCACACGATGACAGAATTTGAATCCAGATGGGTCTGTCTACCGCTCCACCCCACTCAGGGCATCTAGAGGTGACTCAGATCAGATCTTACAGAGAGGGGTCTGGAGAGGGAAGAGTCAGCAGAAGGCCCCAGGGCCACATACTCATATTGGCCAGGCAGCTTCCAGGCTCGGGCTCGGGCTCGGGCTCGGGCTCGGGCTCCTTGGAGAAGTAGACCTGCCAGTCCAAACTGCTGACCCAGTTCTCGTAGGTGGGGAGCGCCGTGAAGACTGCAGGCCGCGCGGGGCCCTGGCAGGCATCTCCAAAGCTGTGTAGCCCAGCCAGGAACCATGTGCCCCTCACCTCAAGCACCAGTGGTGCTCCAGACAGGCCCTGCCAGGGGTCAGTGACACTGGGTGACTTCCTCTTACCCCTCAGCAGTTGTGAGGGGCAGAAAGGCTGAACTTGAGGTGAGGGGCAGGACGGGAGGCCAGCCCCGGCAGGCCTGTACATGAGCTGCAGGCTGAGGATGCCAGGGGACTGTGGGTAAGGTTTGGGGGACTGGAGCTTACCTCACAGCCGGGCGGCTCACCCACAACACTGGAGCACACCATCTCTGGCAGAATGGGGGTGCCATCGCTCCCGAGGGCAGTAAGCAGCCGGCCGCAGGCCCTAGGCCCCAGGAGGGTGACAGGCACTGTCTGAGGGGAGCTGGTGCCTGTGGTGGGGGGAGGGAAAGACCCGACTGCCCCAGTGGCCTCAGGGCTGGATGGAGAGCCACCGGTGGCCCTGTCCCACATACCTGCTCCTTGGTGGGCCAGCCCCAAGACCCAGCCACGTCCCCCATCGGGCAGGCGATGGTCAGCATAGGGCAGGCAGAGGGGCCGCAGGCTGGGGCCTAATGTCACAGGCTGGGCCAGCAACAGCAGAGCCACATCGTAGCCCCCCTCGGGGTGGGTGTAAGCCCCATGCAGGATGAGTTGCTTGAGGCTGTGCTCCTCTGGTCCGGCCGCCAGCCTTACGCTCCACTCCTCTGGGCTCTGCCGCCTGTGCAGAGACAGCACTGACAGCATTGGGCGGCGGGAGTGGGGGTGAGGGGGGCGGGGGGTACAAAGGTGAGGGAGACAGGGCTCACCCAATGAAGCAGTGGGCAGCAGTCAGCACCACCTCCTCTGACACCAGGGCTCCGCCACAGGCCAGCTTCCCCTGGTGCTTCAGCCTGGCATCCCAGGGCCATGGGGAGGGGGCTTCTGCCTGGGGACCTTCCCCCCTCAGGGATCCGCAGGCTGAAACGGATGGATTACCATCTGCCTTCTTGCTACGTGCTTCCCACATGCTATCTAATCCTCACAACGACCTTTTAAGTTGAATTTTGTTACCCCTGTAACCAGAGTTCCCGAAAGGTTAAGTGACTTTCTAGCTCAATAACTACAGGTAAGTAGCAGATTTGTATTCAAAAGCCAGGGCCTAAGCTTTTAACTGACGGTCCAGCCTCAAGGGAGTGGCCTGCTCATCATCCCTCCGCCCCACCTGTCTGCACCCCTCCGGGCTTGGACTGGCTCCAGCATTCCTGGCTCACTCGGGCTTCTCTTACCATCAAGACATAGCTTCCGTCTCAGGAATTATTTTGCATGCAATTTGCGTGTTAATCACTTACGCTAGAATTCTGAGTGGGAGCCCTGCCCTGTCCAGTCTCACTGGGTCCTTGCTTGGAAACGTGCAGCAAGGCCCCGAAACCTTCAGCTAGATCACAGGTCCCTCTACCTAACTCCAAACCCAGAAAGTTCTGGAACATCTCAGCCCTAAATGGGGCTGTTCCCATCCTAGGGACTCAGGGGTGGGCCTTAAAATCCCCCTCATTGGCATATGGCAGTTTGTGGATGCCCTGTGTCAATTCTCTATTGCAAACAAATTTATTTCACCGTGGCTTCCACCTGCTGCCCAGAAGTCCTCGCAAGCCTGGCTGTCCCCACATATCACACTCTTAACAGCCTCCGCGCATACCTACACAGCTGTCCTCATCACTGATCTGCAAGGCCTCTGGGTTCTGGGCCAGAAAGGCTGCGCCCCCAGCGCGAGCCTGCAGCCAGGAGCTGTGGGCAGCCGTGTCAGTCAGCAGCACGGGAGTGTCTTCCTGGGCACAGCTTGATGTGAAGCTGATGATCCCAGCCTGAACCCAGTGTCCATCAGGCTCCTGGCACAGCACGGGACCCCCAGAATCTCCCTGAAGCAGGCAATGGAGTCAAGGACAGACACCTGAGCCCAGCCCTGGGCAGACATCCTCTGCAGCCCTTCCACCCATCCCTGTGCCAGGCCCCCTCCCCTCTGCTTCCTTCCCCTCTCCTCCCCTTCAGACCTGGCAGGGCCCCTGCACCCCGGGCTGGGCACCCCCACACAGCATCCCAGGCCGGGCCGGGCTGGCCAGCAGCCGCTGGTGCAGCCTGTTGTAGAGACAGTTACACGTGGGGCGGCTGATTAGACGCAGGCGCAGATTCCGTAGGGTCCTGGGAGCTGGAAAAAGACGGGCTTGGGGCTGGAGTCTGGGCTCTGGGGAGCAAGGGAGACTAGCAGCAGAGACCGTTGCCAGCTGAGGCTGTGACCTTGGGCAAGAGGACTGCCTCTTTGGGCTTCAGCCTGGGGCAGCACTTACCATCACTAATGTCCTGGTCCCAGCCAGTGGCCCAGCAAGAGGTCCCAAAGGGGAAGCGATGGGCAGGTCTGGGCAAGCAGAGGGGCGTGTGGGCTGTGGGGTGGGCGAGCCGTAGCAGGGCCAGGTCTGAGCCCTGGCTGTAGTGGTTGTAGGCCCTGGGCAGCTGCAGAGAAGTCACCCCGACCTCCTCAGCCCCGGGGCTCAGCCCCTCACGCTGCAGAGAGCCCAGAACAACGGACCAGGAGCTCAGTTCTGTCAATGCCGCTCTGGAAAGAGAGGGACGAGGCCCAGGCATGGAGTGCAGAGGGGGACAGTGCACCAGGGAAGACAGAACAAGGTAGGTGAACAGACAAATACCATCTGTGGCTTTAAGCAAGGCCTTTCCTTCTCCCAACCTGTTTCTCGTTTGTAAGGCTTCTGCCATGAAGGCTGTTAAGAGCAACTTGATAGTAAGTACCTGGCACATCGCAGAGTCTCAGTAAACAGTCCTTTGTTATTCTAAGGGCAGGGATCAGCACTGTGGAGTTTGGGGACACATCACACCCCCCCCCAAAGTCGGCAGCCCTGTCGGACCCCAGCCACAACTCACTTTTCAAAGCAGTGGGCAGCCGTGAGGACCCAGGTGTCCGCCACCAGGGAGCCACTGCAGATGTGCACCCCCTGCCTCCGCACACTGGCCTGCCACGGCCACTCGCCAGGCCCCGTGCTGCCCTCCTGAGGCTCAGAGGGGCCAGGGCCGCGCTGCCCGCAGGCTGTGGAGAGAGGTGGGTCAGGAGAGCAGGCCCCCATCCTGTCCTCACAGGGTCCATCCAGACCCCGGGAAGGCCCAAGCCCCGTGTTCCCAGAGCTTACCACGCTGAGCTGCCTGAAGACCTGGGAAGAGAGAGATACGGGTGAGGCTTGGGGGAGCCTTCCCTGGCTGGCCCAGCTTTGGTGGAGGGGACAGGTTGGGGGACAGGCCCTGGGCCCTTGCCTATGACTCTGTGGCCACCTCACCAGCCCCTCCCAGAATGAAAATATTTATGTGTGGTCCAGGAACAGCTTTTATTGGAACCTACTCAGAGCATCTGCTCAGTAATTAACTCTCCTCCCTCAGCTGCACTCAGCACTCCAGGCCTGAGGAGCAGGGCCTGGGGTTCAGCTTGGGACCAGGCCAGCCCTCCTCCACGCTTCAGAACCCCAGCTCCTGCCCCCGCCACTGAGTCAGGAGGCAGCCAGTGAGTGTGGAGAGCATTAGCTTAATTGTGCCCTCAGCCATGGAGGCCGAGGAGGAAGGATTAGAGGCCTGCGTCATGTCCACCCATTTTGACGACTCAGACTCCCCCACCTTTCCAGAAACTGCCAGACTCAACCAAAGAGTCTCCTGCCCTGCCTCCTCCCCATAATAGGCACACGCAGACACACCCATTGCACATCTGAGCCCGGAGAGATGGGGCAGAGGCAAAGGCTGGGAGACCTCAGAACTTCAGAACTTGCCTAAGGTCTTGCTGGAAGTAGAGGGGCAGACGGGGGCACAGGGAACACACAGAGGCGCTGACAGCCCTGCAGACAGACTCCTCCAGCCCAAGAATATCACACCCTTTTTGACACAGACAGACACACAGACGTCCCCCCACACAGCCAGGCATGGCTGTACCACCACCGGCGGACTGTCACCCCACAGGCAGCCTTCCTCACACACACCAAGCTGCAGGGGCTGCTGGGCAGAGGGTGGCCCCTGAACCCCACCATACCACTCCCCCACCCACTCAAACACAGGTGGCTCACCCTCTATGAGGACCACGGCTCCCAGGAGCAGCAGCCCTGGTCCCCAGCTCTGCCTCATGCTGCTCCGGGCCACTCTGCCGCCTGTGCTGTGGTTCTCAGAGAAGCCACCGGGTCTCGCTAGCTCCACCTCTGCTCCGCCCCCAGTTGGCTAGGAGTCAGGT